CCCCCCCCCCCCCCCCCCCCAAAAATAAAAAACACCAAATTACAAAAATAGAGTAGAAACGTTTCTAGTCGGATGAATTTGGGCGCTCCTGTAGTGGCCTGTACATTTCCTAAAATCGTGGCGTGCTAACGGGCACGGCTCTAGGAAATACTGGTGGTTTAAATTTTTTATTACTTTATACTTATGCTCAGGCTGTTGTTTCTGGCCATCATCATGATCGGATGCAGGAACTTCCCATCAAGTTCGAAATCGCGACCGAGCCAGCGTTTTGTGCACTTGGTCCTCTTCATGTGGCCATTGGCATGAACAATAAGGTGTGCGTTCTTTTCTTTTCTATTTTCTTTTTTTTATAAAGAAAACACCTGCTGAGCCTGCTACCGTCTTCCCCCCAACACAATGCACCCTTATTTTGGCTGTATCTGGCCGGAAATATAGCTTGTATGCATTCATTTTTAGGGTGCGTTATGTTGGGGGGAAGACGGTAGGTGCCGTGATAAGCAACCCAAGCAAGATCTGTGTGCGTCTTTCCTGATATCTTCCTGTTTTGCACAAGCAAGATCTGTGTGCGTCTTTCCTGATATCTTCCTGTTTTGCACAAGCAAGATCTGTGTGCGCCTTTCCTGATATCTTCCTGTTTCATTCTGTATATGGGATGCGCGTCTTTCCTGTCCTGATATCTTCCGGTTTCATTCTGTATATGGGACGCTGGACCCGTTTTCCAACAGCAGGTGATGCTCCCCTCCAATAGATAGAGAGCATCTCCCCGGGTGCTACCTTCTTCCCCCGAATACAAACGTACGGTCATTATAGCTGTATTTGAGGCATCTTTCAGTCTATATACACAGCTATAATGAGCGCAGTACGTCGTATTGGGGGAAGAAGGTAGTGGTGCCTGCTCGTACCAGGGGTTTTTTTTTTTTTTTTTGTTCTGCGTGCGACCCACCTTGCATTGAACAGCGCTCAAGATGACCTCGCAAGGTGGGTTGCACACTGCCTGTGTGAGACCTTTCCACCTTTTTTTTCCTGAAAACAACTGTGGCCGCGTCAGGTTTCAGTTTCAGAAGGGGGGAAAAGGACAATGAGGGTATGCGCACACGAGGACCAAATGACCTTAAATCCCAAAATTTGAGTCAGTTTTAGGGTCACACTGGAGAGGCCGGCTACCCAAATGCCTCAAACGGTGACCCTTTTGTCAGCGGCCTGTGGGGCCGCGGGAGGACCCTTTTTGAGACCACGTCCAGAGGTGGTCGCAAATGACCTTTCAAAAAAAAAAAATTCCATCTTACCTTATTGCAAAAAATTGTCGACGAAGAAAACAGCCTGCCAAAAGAAAGACAAAAAAGATGGCAATGTATCTATCCATGTTCTAGCGGTGGGTTCAGTCTCATTTTGCACATTTGGAGTGTAGTGCAGCCAGGCCCATGTACGTTGTTAAAAAATAAAAAATAAAAAATAAAAAAATTCATCTACTTTCTTACCTTATTTTGGCATGTGAAAAAAAAAGAACTCCATCTACTTTGTTAGTCCTCACCGGTGTGACTACGCACACTTGCCCAGAGCCCCGAGGGCGAAGTGTCAGGGCGGCCCGTCCTTTCTGGACGACGTCCGCCCGTGTGACCACACAAGGACCAAAAGTCCCAAATAGGCCTCTACGCAAATGCCTCAAAAATTTTTTGAGACTTTTGGTCCTCGTGTGAGTATGCCCTGAGACTATACACTCACACTAGGCCCTCAAAATCTAGGCTGTTTTCCCGGGCGCCCGGGCACCCAACTTCTGCCCGGGTACACGCCCGGGTGCCCAGCCGGGCATGAACCCTGGGCAGGGTTCCGGGCAGCCCCAGCGCCAAAAAAAAAAAAAAAAAACTCAAAAAATTACGGGGAAAAAAAAATGTTGTGTAGGATTGAAATAGAAACGACTTTTGGCTGAGGGTCACATTATAATTCCTCACAGAATCGGAGATAAAAAAGAAAATAACAGAATCACACAAAGGCACCCCCCTTTAGCCCCTTTACAACCAATTTATACCCCCCTCCCCCCCACTTCACAGCCAACTCGCAAAAAACGAAATGAGCCCGGATTTCGAGTCCTCTGGGAGAGCACAGAGTACCCCGGGCGTCACGCCCGGGTGCCCGGCCGGGCAGGACCGGGCGGGCGTGAGAATCTTCCTAGCTCAAAATCGCAGAACCGCAAAATCAGTGGCCAGATCGTATCGCAAAATCGCAAATTCAGCGGCCAGATGGAGTCCTTCTTTTCACAGGGACTCAATCTCGCCGCTGATTTGCGATTTTGCGATTTTGAGGGCCTAACGTGAGTATGCCCTAACAACCAGCTGGGTCACGGCACGATGTTTGGAAGGGCAAAAATAAAAATAAAAAAAATCCAGATTGCCGTCTTGCCTGCCTGCCTCTGCAACTGCTGCGCTCACAGTCAAAGTGGAAGTGGCTCCGGAGCACCCACAACACGTACTTGACAGGGGAATCTTCTTCTTCTTCTTCTTCTTCTTTTTTTTTTTTTTTTTTTTTTTTTTTTTTTTTTTTTTTTTTTTTTTTGAGGTCTTTTTTCTGGCCTGTATGGTGGGTGGGTAACAAACCTCCTCCTCATAAGAGTGCATGCTTCATGAATGTGATGTAACCTATGACTGCAGGCTTGGTTTTATCGGATTGGCCCGGACAGCCCACAAAATGGAACCAGACTGGAGCAGCAAAAGGACTATTTGGGAGCCGTTGAGGAGGTAAGACAGTTGAAGAAGGGAGGGTTGGGTTGCTTTGTTCCCAAAAAAAAAAA